GAATTGTTTTGGCAATACGGGGTCTTTTATGATTCCAGACAAATTTTATGATTGTCTTTTCTAGGTCTGTGAAGAATGTATCTGGTACTTTGATTGTCATTGCATTAAATATGTAGATTAATTTGGGTAGAATTGCCATTTTGATTATATTAATTCTTCCAATCCATGAGCACTGGATGTCCTTCCATTTTTTTGTGTCATTTTCAATTTCTTTTTTTAGCTTCTCATAGTTTTCCTTGTGGAGGTCTTTAACTTCTTTGGTTAGATTTATTCCTAAATATCGAATACTTTTGGTGGCTATAGTAAGTAAATGGAATAACTTTTTTCAGTTCTATCTCAGTCTGCCTGTTATTCGTATATAAATAAACCAAGATTTTTAAATTTATAAATTCAAGTTTTAGTTCTTACTCTGGGACAAAGTAACCTTGTGCCATCTAATTTCTTTGGCACTCAGTTTTCTTAATAATAAATTATAGAACTTGTACTGTTTTATGGCACTGGATTTTCAAAAAGGATCTAGTGAGCTAATAGTGTAAGTGAAAGGGGCCAGCAGGTGGTGTGGTGATTAAGGTGCTGGACTCCCACATGCTGACTGCAGTATGAGTTCTGGACCTGGCAGCTTGAAATTCATGCCAGATGGGATTTTGCATGATCAAAATCCCAGGAGGAGAACAGAAGAGAAGGGAATGAGGTGTGGCCATCCCCTGGGCGGGGGTGGGGGGGTGATTTCTTACTTTCCCTTTTATACTCTCTCTGTTTCTCTCAGGAGAGTACGCATACTCTATGGCAAAAACCTAAAAAAAAAAAATAATAATATATAACTAACAATACTAAAAGTGAAAATGCTCTGAAAACTAAAAGCTGTTATTGTATCAGAGAGTAGGTGATTAAACTTTACAAATTATATCTGAGAATCTATCACTTAAAATTAAATGCAAAAACCAGTTAATTACTATTTTTACCTAATCTTTATAATAGTGGCTAAAATAGTTAATGCCAAATAGTTGAAAATGAACTGATTAAACAGTGGTATCAAGCAAAAATTCTTTCATAATCAAAATTGGGAAATGTAAATTTTGGAATATTTGAATAGTAGAGAGATTAAAAAAATAAATAAGCATAAATTGTAGTAGTAGTATCAGTAGTAATTCTAAAAGTAATTATACTTTTAATAGTTACAATTTTTTATTAGGTTGTCTTTACTTAATTATAATCTGAGAAGAATTATAAATTAAGAATTTAAACTAATTATAAACTAAGAATTATAAATTAAGCGCCAGCCGGTGGTATGGTGGTTAAGGCAGCTAGATTCCACATAACTGAGTGGTTCAAATCCTGGACCCATTCATTGGCTTGAGAAGCACACCAAATGTGTGTATGTGTGTGCATGTGTGCCTAAAATCCTGAAAGGAGAAATAGAAGAGAAGGGATTTCGGCATAACCATCCTCCATGGGTGGTGCTTTCTTTTGCCCTCTCTCCCTCTAGCAAAATTAAAACAAACCAAAAAAGAAAACAAATTATATGTATATACATATACATATATATATACATACACACACACACACACACACAAACACATATATGTATATATATATAAAAATTAATTAAAACAAGGCAAACTTAAAAATCGGTATATAAACAAACACAAACTGGTTAAATAACCCAGTGTTTTGCTATACTAACTTGGGTTATTCTACTAATATTCTGTAAATTAAATGATAACACATCTTCCTTTGATTAAAAATTGAAGTAAATTCACTTATTTTTAATTTTTGCCATAGGGCATATGTGCTAGCCAAAGAGAGGGAAAATAAGGAATTACTCCATGATACCTTCTCCTACATTCTCTGGGGACTTTGGGCATGTACACACATGTACCCACCGTGATTTTTAAGCCAAGTCTTGGACTTCAACAGGGGTCAGTCATGTGGAAGTACAGTATCTTAACCACCATGCTACCTGCTGGCCCCTTATTTATTTTTTAAAGGAAATATCCAAAATGTTTGCTGTTCATTAATAAATAAAAAACTGGGGCCAGCAGGAGGCATGGTGGTTAAGCTACTGGACTCCCATCCCACATGGCTGACTGTGGTTTGAATCCTGGACCTGGCAGCTTGCTTTCTCACTCTCTCTCTTTTTCTCTGTCTGGTGAGCAAATAAAAAAACGATAATAAATAAACTAAAGAATTCTTTAAAAAATTTTCTTTTGAAAAGCAGACTGATTTAAAAATTTGTTTTACAAATAGCTGGAATTAACCTATTAACTAGAAATAGTTAA